TGAGGGTGAGGGTGAGGGTGAGGGTGAGGGCAAGCGAGAGAGTGAGCGTGCGACCGAGGCTGAGCCCGAGCCCGTGCACTTTTAGAGCGCGAAATTTGGCAGAGCGGGAAGCGGCAGCGCCGTCGCTGCAGTTGACGCAGTTGACGCAGTTGACGCATTTCACGCAATTCACGCAACTCCAACCGACGCCATTTCCCCACGCCCAGCGGCACGGGAGCAGTGTGCATCCTCGGCTGCACGCCGGTTCGGCTCTCCACCATCATCATCATATCCCACACTTCCTTGTCGCTTTGCCGCAGCCCCAGCCCACGCCCTAATCGTTACTCGTTACAATCGTTACAGCACCACTCACTCGTAAACAACATTTACGCAAACGACCGCCACTCGATCGGCGCATTGACAGGCATGCCACGCCTGCAGCACGCACAGCCCTCGTCCTGATTCCATAGCGAAGAGCATCCCGCGCACCATGTCGAGCAGGCAGCCATCGGAGAACCGCGAAGGTCGCCGTGCCTCGGGCGCCGGTGGTGCTTCGTCGTCGCGCTCGTCGAGCCGCGTGGCATCGCGATCCGGATCGGTGCATCGCTCCAAGGATAAGAAGCCCGTGTGCATCGGCCAGTACATCATCCAGCAGACGCTCGGCGCCGGCTCCTTCGGCAAGGTGAAGCTCGCAACGCATGCGCTCACAGGCCACCGTGTGGCGATGAAGATCATCAACCGCCGCAAGATCTCGAGCCTCGACATGGGCGGACGTGTGAAGCGCGAGATCCAGTACCTCAAGCTGCTCCGCCATCCGCACATCATCAAGCTGTACGAAGTCATCACCACGCCCAACGACATCATCATGGTCATCGAATACGCTGGCGGCGAACTCTTCCAGTACATTGTCGACCGCGGCCGCATGCCCGAGCCAGAGGCAAGGCGCTTCTTCCAGCAGGTCATCTGCGCCATGGAGTACTGCCACCGTCACAAGATCGTCCACCGCGACCTCAAGCCCGAGAATCTGCTGCTCGACGAGTACCTCAACGTCAAGATCGGCGACTTTGGACTCTCCAACATCATGACCGACGGCGACTTTCTCAAGACGAGCTGCGGCAGCCCCAACTACGCCGCGCCCGAGGTCATCTCCGGACGGCTGTACGCCGGGCCCGAGATCGACATCTGGTCGTGCGGCGTGATCCTGTACGTCATGCTGTGCGGCCGACTGCCGTTCGACGACGAGTACATCCCGACGCTCTTCAAAAAGATCAACAACGGCATCTACACGCTGCCGTCGTACCTGTCGCAGGATGCGCGCCATCTGCTCAGCCAGATGCTCATCGTCGACCCTGTCAAGCGCATCACCATCCACGAGATCCGCCAGCATCCGTGGTTCAACGTGGATCTGCCAGCCTACCTGCGCCCACTGCCGCCCACACCGGCGGCCGAGAACCGCGGCTTCAACTTTGGCCTTACCGAGTCGCCGCGCGAGACGGGCTCGCCCACCGACATCGCTTCGTCGGCCGCATCTTCGTCGGCCGCCAACAGCGGCGCGTCGTCGTCGCAGACCTCGGCCTCGGCGAGTCGGACGGGAAGCCAGCCTGCGGTGCTCGACGATCTGGGCCCCATCGACGCCGAGATTGTGGACGAGCTCGTGGGCAAGATGGTGGGCTTCAACCGCGACGAGCTGCTGCATCATCTGGCGGACAAGAGCGACAACCAGGTCAAGGTGGCGTACCAGCTGGTGCGCGACCACCGCCGCATGCTGCAGATCCACCACATGGAGGATGCGCACGGCATGGAGAATTTCCTGGCGCAGAGCCCGCCCGCGTGGAACGAGGGGCTCGAGGGCTTCATGGGCCGCTCCACCAGCATCAAGCGCAAGAATCGCGACAAGGAGGTGGCAGGAGGTGCGGCGGTGCGGTCGACGCGCGAGCCTGTGCCGCCGCTCCCGGCCTCGGCTCATGCAACGGCAACGGCGGCGG